AGTTTCATATAAAATATATTTGTATGGGAAATGTTAATGTACTCCTCTCCCTATTTTCTAGCTTTGAATTGCCATCATTCATTCATTCATTCAATCATAAATTTATTTTGTTAAATATCAGTAACTACTTTATGCCATGGCACTGGTCCATGTAATAAGGATATAAGCCTCAAACAGAAAAAAAAAAAAAAAGAGAGATGATCTCTGTCCTCAAAGAGTAAAGACTTCATTGCTAGCATTATGTGTGTGCCCATAAATCAGGCAATGATAGCAATATAATGCTGTATACCTAATTGTTAGCTGGTTACAGAGGACAGCACTGGGTTTACAAGTCTTGGAATACAGCATGACTCTGGTGATTAGAATTCACAAGTATTGCCTCTCAAGCTTAAGGAGACTTTCAGCCATTGTTGACTTGCTTTAGAACATTTCATGTTCTTATACCACTGCTCACAACTTACCATCTCAACATGGTCCCCCAACACACACACACACACACACACACACACACACACACACACACACACACAGCTTAAACCAAATAGGAGAAAGAGTGACAGCATCCAGTGAATTACCCCAGAGTGATGATAATTTACAGTGAGGCATTGAAGCTAAAGGACAGAAATGGATTTGCTAGGGCTTAGTAACAAATTAAGATTTCCCATGCTGATCAGAGCATTAGCTAAATAGTTCGTAAATGAGATGCCTTTCCCTGAAGGACTGGAGCAGGCAGAAAACAAACGATATTGGGATATTTAAGATACAAAGAATTAGGTAACAGATAAAAGAAAATACCCTATATGACAAAAAGGTTTTTATCAAACTTATCACTGTGATGCTGTGATTCTGGTCTGCAAGTAGCTTTCTCACTTCGAACATTTAGGACTTCAAATTCGAGAACGTAAAATGACTTGACTTGTAAGGCGTAAGTCAAAAGGAAATCACCATTAAACCCTAATAAAATTTGGCAAATGAAAATTCCAAAGAAAAGAGAAACAAAGAAAGACAAACTGAAACTACCTAGTGTAGATAAAACTTATAACCACTATAAGGTATTTAAAAATCCTACTCTGATGAGACACTCCCACTGGAGTTGGGGCCTAATTAATGCGCTTTATGAATTCTCCTCGCCTTTGTGTACCATCTAAAAGAGAAATTCACTGAAAATTCTCATAGCAAAGATCAGACCAAGGAAAAATCATAAATTTAATGTTTACTGTCCTCCCCCACCTCACCGTGGGTCTCTCACTTGAATGCTAATATTTTAGCACACAACAAAATTTCTTGTGATGCAATAGTGTTTTGGCCAACAACTGCTATTTATTAAAAATCTGTTTCTTTAAGTAGTTGTCAGCCAAAATGGAATTGGACTGTTAAGTTTGTTTGTTCCCTCACTTGGCCTTTCAAGTTTTGCATCTTCAAAGGATTTATTTGAAGCATTAACATGCTGTTTTCTCTCTTGCTACAACAATGCACTACAGTGATACTGGCAAAAAGATTCTTTCTTCCAACCTGCTCTTCCTATTTTTTTCCCCTTTTTCTAATAACTTGCTAACAAGAGATCCAGATGTGTAATAACATAACATCTAAGTCTGTGACTGGGGTGCTTGTTACCCGAGTAATGCTATTTGGCACTTATGTTTTTTTTTTTTTAATCATGTATTGTGATACCAATGAAGCAAAACTGACTTTATGCACCTTCTTTTTCACATAAGTTCTTTTCCTAATAATTGCCAGCAGAAGATTTTTTTTGCTCTTAATAAAAAGTTTTTATATTAGTCACTCACAGCCCAATTAGAGGTTTCCCCTGCTCCCTGAAGGCATAAACTTTGAACATAGAAGTTTCTTTTATTCATGCTTTTTCTTAAAAAAAAAAAAAAAGAGTTATAACCTTTTGTGTTGGGACAACAGGATAATTGCTCATGTTAAAAAATAAAATTACAAGAAAAGGATATAGACAGAAAGTGGTAGCGTGGTAATAGAATCTTGTATTTGTAAGTTTTAGTAGTGAAGACTGTAAATTAAATTAGATGCATTCAGTCAAAATTATGAGAACTGTAAATTTAGTTGGTTGTGTTCATTCAAGATTATTTTTGCTGTAAAAGTAACAAAAAAGGTGAAACTTGAAAAGAATAAAAATGTACATTTAAAGATCTAAATGTCTTCTGTTTATAGCCTGTGTATGCATGATGAACAATTTTTTTAAAAAGTAGAAATTATGAAGTACTTTGAATCTTGTTTTAGTATTTTCTATGCAAATTTTTATTTATTTTAGAGGCAAGCATTTAAAACTTACCATTAGTAACAATTAGCAGAACAAAGTTAATGAGAAAGAAAACGATGAAAAATTTTTGAAATTATTAAATTTACTGAGTTTTTTTGAAGTTTTCTAAGATGTTTATTAGTAGATATTACTACCCTCTCATATTCACTGTAATAAAGACTTGACATACAAACAAACAAAGACCTTCCTTTTTAAATAAATATCTTTTTGTTTGTTTCTTATATTGAGTAAGTATATACAAAGATATATGTGTGTATTATAAAGAACAAGGTGTATATATATGTATTTATAAATTAAACTTAAAGTATATTATATTCTCATATATATGTTTTAAGTGTACATTATATAATGTTTTCAATGTTTTTCACTTTTAAAATTTCCAAATAATGCATATAACACATACACATTTTTTGAACTTCCAAGGAAATGCCAGTGAAAATTTAAAAGGTAAATTCAAAGATAAATTCAGTTGAATGAAAAGGTTTTGTAGTGGTCAAATACTACTTGAACTTTTACTGAATCAAGAGAGCAATTGAATAAAAATACATGGAGCTCTAAAAGTTTATTAGTTCAACAAGTTCAATCCAATTTTTAAACGACCCAGTCAGGTCTTAATATAAGTCTGGACCTACACCTTAATAGATAAAGGAAAAATTATATTATACTTTATAGAGTGTTTAAAGAAATATAAAAGCATCTACTTTCTCCTCTAAAAGTCAACTATAAGCAATTGGGTAAATGCTTTGCATTGTGTATATTGTCCAAAACAAACTGAATTGATGCTACATTTTGACATAAGTGCAAACCCTGTAAATTGTGGAACACAAGTTAAATGATTTAAAAACTTAAAACACTTTGAGTAAATAATTCTGTCCTCTTTTCTCTCTTGTGTATTATATTTCTTCCCAGAAATGTCCAAGGTCATTTATTTCATTTCCCCAACCTGACAGATTAGAAAATGATAAAAGATTACAAATTCACAAATACATTTGTTTTAGTTATTTGAGACTACAATATACAAAGAAAATTATAAGAAAAATATTCAAAATACTTTGAGGATTATTTTGATTTGTTTTAGTGTGAGTGTTGCGAATTTCTCCAGTTTTCCCCAGGAATAGAAAAGAAAGCACTTTTTGGTAAGTTTCCATTCATTTATACATAGGTATATGGTGGGACCCTCTGCCTTCAGTACTTAGCATATTTCTGAATGAACAATGAGACAAGGAGAGTAAAGTTGGGTACTTTTTCCCTACATTGAATTTTAATTAATAATCTCTGGATTTTTTGAATCTCAAAGTTTCATGTTTCACAAATATTTAAAAGAATTTTACCTTAATAAGAATACCTTCTATTAATATTTTATATAGTACTTTTACATTGTGAAAGTATTTACTTCTTCAGCTTAAAACTTTGTTTATAGTTTAATGCTAGAGAAGAAATTGATCAACATTTTTCACTTGTAATCAATGAATATCAACTCTAGGTTATCACCAGAGCTGATGACATAAACCCTGATCCATGTTTTAATGTGATGGGTTTTATCTTCAGATCACTGTGTTGCCATTTAGTTCCAATAACCAAAAATACTCTGATAAATCAAAGTGGCATTCTTGATTGAGTTGTGAAATAGAACTATGTCAGTAATATAAAGATGCTGAGCATTTTATAATAGTTTTTTATTTAAATTATTTTTCTAAAGTTAAGACTTAAAAATAATCACCCAACTTGAATAAAGAAGAAGGCATTATTAGTTAGCCAAACTACATGCAATATAAAAATCTTCAGTTGGCTTTTACAATTTATACCATTTTATTTTATTTATCAACAGATAATGTTTCCCATGTTGCTATTCTAGTAATAATTATTTTATTATGACATTGTTGAAATATTTAACTGCAGTTTATTTATCCATTTTGAATTTTGATGTGTATCACTATGAAAATTCTGTCTTGATTTTAATTCATTTTTGCATTCTAAATATTTTAAAAGGTTGTAAGAAGTACCTGAACTCTTTAATTATTTCTAAAATATAATTTTTTTCTTTAATATATTTTTTCCTTTGCACCAGAAAAACTAATTGGTACATGACCTATGAGTTACTAGATTGTATTTATTGCTTATGAATAACTGGTAAATATTTTTTCTAACTTGGTAGATTTTTTTTCCCCTATCCTCTGTATAGCATATGTCTGTGGCTTGCAAACCCTCAAAACCTTGTGTTTACATGAATTAATAGAAAACAAAGAGCAGGTAATCTTCACCTTATATTGCCAAGTTAAAAAGAAAAAAGAGACATGGGAATGGAGACAATTTTTTGTCAGTGCGGAGAATAGAACTTTTCCATAATAATCCAGTAATTTACCTTAATTACTAAAACAATGCACACAATAAATTCACATGCACATACTCTTTCTTTCCTTCTAACATTTATCATGTTCTAAAATGCTATTATTAACTTCGGGAGTATGTAGCTTACTAATACTTGTCCGAGTTTCCTATTGCTCATTGTTGGCTTTTGTTGAGTTTGTAATTTGTGTGTTTAACTGGAGCACATTTACAGCAGAAAATCCTGTCTTGAACTTTTCTTATTTTGTCCAATAGAATCTCGTGGCATAGTGTCATAGCTGCAAAGTGGAGTTCTATCCTCAAATTTCATAGGAAATAGTCCAACTGTACATTGAAAGATTATGCAAATCTTCAAGGAGCATCTAATCAATCACCGCGGTGTGAGAGGAATGCAGCCCATCGCTGAATTAGCTTCTGTTGGAATGTATTCATGTGTAACATCCCACTGACTGGATGACATCACAACAGCTCCAGGTCCTTGAAAGTCTTGAGGATGATTAGCTGAAGGAATTGGCTGTTTCTGCCAATCATAATCCAGCAAAGCTGCCTTTATAGTTCTGGAGATATGAGAGAGAGGGAGGGAGAGAAAGACCGACTACAGCTAAACAAGAGGCACAGCAGCACTAGCAACAGCAGAGCAGGAGCAGCTGGTATTCCGGTGATTAAATAGTTCTCATAGCCTTTTTGCTGTACTCGGTCTGCTCCCTGGTGTAATTCTCGTGTCCAAGAAGGAAGCTGCATTTTAACGGTGTGCTGAACAGAGGTTTGAATCATTCCAGCTGGCTGCTTGTTTTGAAAAGGACAATGTGTGTATAAATAAAAGGACTCTGCTGGAAGAGTTCAGATACTAAGACTGGAGCTAGAGAGTGCTCTTGGAATATTGTTGAGGCAGATTGCATGAACTGAAAGCTCCTTCTAATTAACCTGGAGCCAAGTGAACCTGAATACTGGATACCTCATGTTCTAAGTCGGGATAAATTCAAGTTAGGAAAAGGCAAAATATTGAAATGCTTCTCTAGGTAAGTTACTGCTTAATTTGCTGAAATCGAGGTGTGTACCATAAATGAATATGCGTTGCTTAGCTATGTAAACAAGTCGAACACAATAAAGTTTTATTTGTGAAAGATTTATGTAGAAGCAGATAATATTTTAAAACCAAATTCAATCTCCCTTTTCCTCATGTGTGTGCTTACCTGTCATCATGCTTTATAGAAGTTATATTTGCACGGAAATAGAAAATACAGTCCTGCCTAAAAAAAAAAAAAAAAAGAGAGAGAGAGAGATACAACTTGATAAAATTTAAACAGTTGCTGGAACATTTGCATAGGAAATATCTTATCTGATACAATTTTAGCCTTTTCATATTAAAAGCACGAATTTTACAAACTCAACATCCAAAGTTAACTGTAGGGTTATAAATGTTTCCCTAGTAAGTGTTACTGAAAACATGGCATTCAAATTACCGAAGATGGGAACTCCTCTTCTTTGGACCTGAGATTTGTAGGCATGCTGTTCTAATGGTCTGCTTTAGAGAAACAGCTGTCACAGACATTTGAAATTGTATGATACAGTCATAAATTGCTTATAAAGAAATAGGTGTTTTCCTCGTACCTCCTATTAGAAAATAAAAATAAATTCTTAGAACAATATATGTCATATGCCCTAAGCATAGTTTCCTAGGAGGACAGAAAGCTTTATGGTATACCTCCAATTTCCTCAAGCACAGAATAAGTTGGAAAATAAGAAATATTATTGCAATATGATTTTACTCATTCCCTTTTCAATATCTCTGTTTGAGGAAGCTAAATAAGGAAACTTAAACCTTATTTTTCTTACAATTTCTCCTGATTAATAAAATACTGTATTATTCAGAATTCCTGTCCTAGCTTTTTAAGTGATGATGTGTTTTGTTTATTATGATAAATTATACTGTGAGTTCTCATACAGCTTGAGAAAGTTTGAAGTTTATGCTTTATCATGTCTCTTTCAAACTCACGCTTGCTTATTTTCATGGTGCCTTCTATCAGAATATTTTTATTTACACAGTATCATAAATGCTTTAACATGAATTGCATACCAACATATTGATGTGTTTCTGTAACTCGCAGAATGGTTTTAGTTTTCCACTTTCTCACGAACAACAGGGTTAAAATCCTGTGAGGTTTCTACACCAAGAGGGAATTGATAAAGACAAAAGTTATTGTAATTGGTTGAATTTCCCCAAAACTAGGAAGCAATGAATTTTCCCACAAAGATTTAAAGGTTTTTTTTTTTTCAAAGCAAAAGAGTAATTTACTCTATTAAAAGCACGCTAGTTAGCTATATCCCAGTGTCACATAGGCTCTGTGCTCGTCATTTGTGTGCGTGTGTGTGCATGTGAGTAGCAAGTTTATATGAAAAATATAAAGTCTACTGACTACAACAGTCTAAGTTTTCAACTGGAATTCATAAAAAAGTAACTAATTAATAAGCAAAATATACTTGCCATTTACATTTATCTCAATATGTAAATGGGAAGTTAAGCCTACTCTTATTGTTGACATTTTTTAAAATAAGAAATCCTGTGACAATACATTATGGTGATCAATATTAAGCAATGTTTACACTGATAGACATCTCATAATAAGCTAATTGGGAAGATTTTTAGAAATTTAATATTAAGCAGAATGGGCCTTTTAACTCTATCTGAATGGCACCTGGTCACCACTAAGACTGATACATTAAAAACCCTTTGAAAAAATTATAATATATATGACTTACCAGCTATAACATGAAAATCACCCTTAGATCCAATTTAGAAACTCAGGCATTGTTTTTAAATAAAAGGAAAGTAAAACCTTATGAAAATTTGAATTTTTAAAATTGATTAATGCAAATATATAAGTAATAAATGCATATGCAAATATACATAAATTGCATTTTGTTTTCTCCAAGTTAGGCTTATTATTTAAGAAATGTATCATTTTAAATGTATTATCCTAAACACCAAAAGGAAGTATATCTGGACTAGTTTTATATATAAATATATTAAGTCATAATTTTGAATTTCTATAATTGACAATCAAAATAGAAATACGTGCTCACACTTATGTTTACCTCAGAAAAATAATGATCTTTCATTTTTCATTTGAGATTAAAACTGTTATATCTGTTCTTTCTTCTCCCAAAGAAAAGCATTCTGTACTTAGATGTAAAATAAACTTAATTCAATCTCAATACTAACATTAGTTCTTAAAGGTACTAAATAAATGTATCTAACCCAGTAAAACAGTTGTCCCCAATAGGTTAAGTGTTCATATGATTGCCTTGTATTTTCTGTTTGAGTGGAAAAGGGGCCTTTGGAAATAAAATCCAAAGATCAAACTTTGTGTGCATCATTTACAAGCAACTACTAAGGAAGAAGAGAGAAGCATTTAGCATACTGTGTTCAAACTAGAAGATTCTGGCTGGTGCTGCCTCCCCAGATTTAGAAAGCAGCTGGGGAAACATAAAATAAAGCTAGAATATCAGCCCTGGCCAGAAGCCAAGACAGAGAAGCTGTGCACGCAGAAGGCTAATTCTTTCTGAGCTAAAATTCATTGATAATGCATTATGTTTAGAGTCTAACCTGAAGTGTTACTTTTTTCTCCAGTACAAACTGTGGGATATTTAAACAGCAAATATATTTTCTAAGTAGAGCTAAATTTTAAACTAACAAAGGTTTGTTCTTTATTAAAAGTTGCTCTATTAAAAAAATGCAAATAAGCCTAGCAGAAACTCCTATAAAATACAGTTTATACTCAGAAAAATAAAAATAAATAAAGATGAGATGCATCATCTAACCATGATCTTGGAAAGTCAGAGAGATCAGAAATGACACATATGGATACATGCCAAAACAAAGAAATGTGAAGGTTTTATTAAAATACCTGGCCTAGTAAAATTTACAGTAAAGGTACACATGCTAAATACTGTTGTAGTATATATCTTCTGAAGGTATAACAAGCATAAGGTAAACCCTTATTATGTACCCGCAAATAACTAGGAAAAAGAGAAAAGCATGTTGTCTGTTGATTTATTTGAAGTTTATGAAGTGAGATAAATGGGTCAGGTGTCAGACACAATGCTACCGCCTTCAGCCATCATGATAAAACATCTAGCTAGCCTTTTCTTTAACACTTCAGGAAACTTTCAGCTATGCTGTTATGCAGGGTGTTAAATGCACTATTTTTAAAAGTTATTTTAAGCAAGCCTCAGAAGTTAGAGGTGTTATTTGCAATGCAGAATGTGTACACATATATACAGTTATTTCTAATAGATATAGTTCTATTTCCAAACTTTATCTCAGTTTTCTAAGGAAAACTACCACTTTCTAGAGGTGACAAATCTAAAATTCCTTTTAGAAATAATATTGAATTGAAAACAGATTTCCTCAAAAGCCAAAATAGCCTGAAAATGAATTCCAAACTCATTAATAGCCTCACGCATTTCAAGAAAAAAATATTTTTTTGAAACGTGAATAGTAAATTACTCTTCCTTCCTACAGGTAAACATGTTTGCTGATATAACATAATGTATTTATTTTCTTTGAGTTGTTATAGTTTGTCTATATTCATCAGTATTCAGAAAATTCATGCCATGAAATAGGTTTTAATAAAATAAACCACATATGACAAGCTAAATAATGGTTTGCAAGTGACCCTTTGAGGTCATTTACATACATAAGCTATTTTAGATATATCTTTTAAGAGAGATTATATACTTCATTAACACTAAATAAATAGTTATGTGTAATTAGTTGAAATTTTTAAAAATCTGAGGAAAAAAGGGTTAAAACTGACTATGTCTAAATGCTTGAGAATATAATTTGATATTGTACTCAGAAAACAAAAGCGAGACTTTTGTTGAGAAACAAAAGTGATGACTCTAGTGAATTATAGAATTGGGACTTCTCTCCCAATTTGTACTCTGTTTAGAAATTATTATTTTAAATATTTGAAAAGTTCAATGAAGAAAGCAACTTTCAGCAAGCTAATAAACACATGAGTTTAATGTGCAGCCACATGCTTCATTTGTTCCCAAATTAGAGGAATTTCTCTATTTTGAAAATTCCACCATCAATTGAACTTATGTTGTGATTTGTTGCAAATATTTAACCTCCTTTTTAAAAGTTCTTAATGGAATACATCGTCAACTATAACTACGTAGAAGTTGAAAGTTAGCTTGGCCAGGTTCACGATATTCAAGTAAAAAGTAAATGGAGAAATGCTTTCTTGATCTCTCTTTTCACTTGCTCCTTTCTTTCTTCTCTTTTGTTTTTTTACTCATTTTTCTTATTTCCCTTCCCTTCCTCTCTTTCTTTCTCTATTCTTTTTCTTTATTCTTTTCCGTCTTCTCCACTTCTTATTTTACCACTTTTTTCTGTCCTTCCTCCCTTCCTCCCTCCCTCCCTCACTTCCTTCCTTCCCTTTTCCTTCTTTCCTTCCTTCTTTTTCCTTCTTGCTTTCCTACCTTCCTCTTTTCCTTTTTCCTTTCTTCCTCCCCTTTTCCCTCCTTTCTTTATTTCCATTCATTTTTGCCACTTCAACTTACATGCTCTCTTGCATAATTGGAAAGCAAATCACTCATCTTTAGTATTGTGGCAATTATTAATCTAATAACCTGGTTTGAACACAGAGTAAGTGGGGAAAGTGAAGAGAAAGAGTGGGTTAAACTGCAATAAGCAATAGAGGAAAAGTGAAATAAGGTGGAAGATTTATTTCACAGAAATAGTGATGTTGACTTTAACATATGGTCTGTTCTTTCACCTATAAATTTCCATTTAATTTACTAAATTATTTAAGTGTAATTCTTTGCTCCCTTTTCCAACACTCTCTTTTTAACATCAGTCACATCTTTTCCATATAGCAAATGCACCTTAGTGGTAAAAAATAAAATAATAATAAATATAAATAATTTTTCCTTAGAAATTTTAAATCTCCTAAATCATTTTTATATCTAGTAGTTTAAGGATATCAACGTTCATAAACAACCCAAAGGC